TCTGAAAATTTCAGGGCAGATAGATCTTGACCTAATGAACAATTTTATCCTCCTCAGATTTGCTCTAAATGCTTTGGTTTCAGAGATATGAGCCAAAAACTGCATTTTACCCTATGTACTATTTTTTAGTTAAATTTGTCTTAGTAGTTTCAGAGGAGAAGATTTTTGTAAAAGATTACAAAAATTTACGAAAAAATGGTTAAAAATTGACTATAAAGGGCAGTAACTCCTTAAGGGGTCAACTGACCATTTTGGTCATGTTGACTTATTTGTAGATCTTACTTTGCTGAACATTATTGCTGTTTACAGTTTATCTCTATCTATAATAATATTCAAGATAATAACCAACTAAAGGCTCTAAAGAGCCTGTGTCGCTCACCTTGGTCTATGTGCATATTAAACAAAGGACACAGATGGATTCGTGACAAAATTGTGTTTTGGTGATGGTGATGTGTTGTAGATCTTACTTTACTGAACATTCTTGCTGCTTACAATTATCTCTATCTATAATGAACTTGGCCCAGTAGTTACAGTGGATAATATTTTGTAAAAATTTACAAAAATTTACAAAATTTATGAAAATTGTAAAAAATTGACTTTAAAGGGCAATAACTCCTAAAGGGGTCAATTGACCATTTTGGTCAAGTTGACTTATTTGTAGATCTTACTTTGCTGTACATTATTGCTGTTTTACAGTTTAACTCTATCTATAATAATATTCAAGATAATAACCAAAAGCTGCAAAATTTTCTTAAAATTACCAATTCAGGGGCAGCAACCCAACAACGTGTTGCCTGATTGGTCTGAAAATTTCAGGGCAGATAGATCTTGACCTAATGAACAATTTCACCTTGTCAGATTTGCTCTAAATGCTTTGGTTTCAGAGATATGAGCCAAAAACTGCATTTTACCCTATGTACTATTTTTTAGCCATGTAGGCCATCTTGGTTCGCGGGCGGGGTCATCTGACACATTTTTTAAACTAGATACCCTAATGATAATTGTGGACAAGTTTAGTTAAATTTGTCTTAGTAGTTTCAGAGGAGAAGATTTTTGTAAAAGATTACAAAAATTTACAAAAAATGGTTAAAAAATGACTATAAACGGCAATAACTCCTTAAGGGGTCAACTGACCATTTTGGTCAATTGACTTATTTGTAGATCTTACTTTGCTGAACATTATTGCTGTTTACAGTTTTTCTCTATCTTTAATAATATTCAAGATAATAACCAAAAACGGCAAAATTTCCTTAAAATTACCAATTCAGGGGCAGCAACCCAACAACGGGTTGTCAGATTGATCTGAAAAATTCGGTGCAGATAGATCTTGACCTGATAAACAATTTTACCCCATGTCAGATTTGCTCTAAATGCTTTGGTTTCAGAGATATAAGCCAAAATCTACATTTTACCCCTATGTTCTATTTTTAGCCATGGCGGCCATCTTGGTTGGTTGGCCGGGTCACCGGACACATTTTTTAAACTAGATACCCTAATAATGATGATTGTGGCCAAGTTCGGTTTAATTTGGCCCAGTAGTTTCAGAGGAGAAGATTTTTGTAAAAGTTAACGACGACGGACGACGACGGACAACGACGACGGACGACGGACGCCAAGTGATGAGAAAAGCTCACTTGGTCCTGTGGGCCAGGTGAGCTAAAAATGCTTATTTTTGGCCCCTTATTCCTAAACGTTTTGGTCAATTACCCCCAAACTCAAACCCAGCTTTCCCATTGTGATATGGAACCTTGTAGTACAATTTCAGAGAGATCCATACTCTTACACACAATTTATTGTCATGAAACTAGAAAAATGCTTGTTTTTGCCCCTTTTTGGCCCCTAATTCCTAAAATTTGGAGGCAATTACCCCCAAAATCAATCCCAGCATTCCCTTTGTGATATTGAACCTTGTGATACAATGTCAGAGAGATCCATACACTAACACACAAGTTATTGTCATGAAACTAGAAAAATGCTTGTTTTTTGCCCCTTTTTGGCCCCTAATTCCTAAAATTTGGAGGCAATTACCCCCAAAATCAATCCCAGCATTCCCTTTGTGATATGGAACCTTGTGGTACAATGTCAGAGAGATCCATACACTTACACACAAGTTATGTCTGGAAGTTACAAAAATGCTTATTTTTGGCCCCTTTTTGCCACCTAATTCCTTAACTGTTGGTACCATAACCCCCAAAATCAATCCCCACCGCCTTTTGTGGTATTGAAACTTATGGTAAAATTTCATTGAGATCCATTCACTTAAACTAAAGTTAGAGTGCGAAAACTAATGTGTCTTCGGACGACGCCGCCGACGACGCCAACGTCATACCAATATACGACCACAAAAATTTTTTTGCGGTCGTATAACAACATATGATATTTAGCTCACCTGGCCCGAAGGGCCAAGTGAGCTATTCTCATCACTTGGCGTCCGTCGTCGTAGTCCGTCGTCCTTAGCTTTTTACAAAAATCTTCTCCTCTGAAACCACTGGGCCAAATTTAACCAAACTTGGCCACAATCATCATTAGGGTATCTAGTTTAAAAAGTGTGTTCCATGACCCCGCCAACCAACCAAGATGGCCGCCATGGCTAAAAATAGAACATAGGGGTAAAATGTAGGTTTTGGCTTATATCTCTGAAACCAAAGCATTTAGAGTAAATCTGACATGGGTAAAACTAATTATCAGGTCATGATCTATCTGCCCTGAAATTTTCAGACAAATCTGATAACATGTTGTTTGGTTGCTGCCCCTGAACTGGTAATTTTAAGGAAATTTTGCAGTTTTTGGTTATTATCTTGAATATTATTATTATAGATAGAGATAAACTGTAAACAGCAATAATGTTCAGCAAAGTAAGATCTACAAATAAGTCGTCGTTACCAAAATTGTGAGTCGACCCCTTTAGGAGTTATTGCCCTTTATAGTCAATTTTTCAATCTTTTACAAAAATCTTCTCTGAAACTACTGAGACAAAGTTAACCATACTTGGCCATAATCATTATTAGGGTATCTAGTTTAAAAAATTTGTCTGATGACCCCGCCTTCCAACCATCATGGCCGACTTGGTTAAAAAAAGAACATAGGGGTAAAATGCAGTTTTTGGCTGATATCTCTGAAACTAAAGCATTTAGAGCAAATCTGACAGGCGGCAAAAATGTTCATCAGATTTAGATGTATCTGCCCTGAAATTTTCAGACGAATCCGACAACCCGTTGTTGCCCCTGAGTTAGTAACTATACAGAAATTTTGCAGTTTTTATACGCCCGTCAAATTTTTGACGGGACGTATTATGGTATACAAATGTCCGTCTGTCCGTCTGTCTGTCCGTCTGTCCGTCTGTCTGTCCGGCGTAAACATGTCGCACCGTAACTGAGAATGACTTATCCAAATTTCATGAAACTTAACATAGTTGTTTCTTATGATGGTCAAACGATCTGTATACTTTTTGGTGAAAATAAGATTAAAACTTTTTGAGTTACGGGACTTAGTAACTAAAACAGGTGTGTGTTTTTTTTTTTCACATGTCGCGCCGTATCTCAAAAACAATTTATGATTATTGCTTAAAACTTTACACACTTCTTAGTTATATTAATCTTAAGATCTGTATACTTTTTGGTGATGATTCAAAATTTTATTTTAGAGATATTGAGTATTTTGTTAAAAAAGGGGGAGGGGTTTTTCACATGTCGCGCCGTATCTCAAAAACAGTTTATGATTATTGCATAAAACTTTACACACTTCTTAGTTATATTAACCTTAAGATCTGTATACTTTTTGGTGATGATTCAAAATTTTATTTTTGAGTTGTTGAGTATTTTGTAAAAAAAGGGGGAGGGGTTTTTCACATGTCGCGTCATATCTCAAAAACAATTTATGATTATTGCTTAAAATTTTACACACTTCGTAGTTATATTAATCTAAAGATCTGTATACTTTTTGGTTTTGATTCAAAATTTTATTTTTGAGATATTGATTTTTTTTTTTAAAGGGGGGTTTTCACATGTCGCGCCGTATCTCAAAAACGATTTATGATTATTGCTAAAAAATTTACACACTTCTTAGTTACATTAATCTAAAGATCTGTATACTTTTTGGTTTTGATTCAAAATTTTATTTTAGAGATATTGAGTTTTTTGTAAAAAAAAAGGGGTGTTTTCGCATGTCACTCCGTATGTCAGAAACTATTTATGCTTATTGCATAAAAATTCACACACAAGACGACGGGCGTATCATGCGCTCATGGCGCAGCTGTTTATTTGTTATTATCTTAGATACCATTATAATATCTAATATCTAATACTATTGATTATGATTTTAACCTTATTTTACATGATTTCCAAAGCATCAGTAAATACAGGTGAGCGACACAGGCTCTTGAGAGCCTCTAGTTTATTTTTTTCAAAAATATTTGTTTGTGATGGCTTCAAATTCATCACTCCAGTATTTTCTTCAGAAAACTAAAGTCCACGAATTTAAGTACCCACGAACATGTAACTTTTGCTGAAACCACGAAAATTGATACCCACGAATAAAAGTACTTTCACAGTAGTTGTTAATGGCTTTAGACTAGCTTTCAGTATTTGGTAGTACTCTTAGATTGGCTCATCGTGTCTCTAGCTTTATTGACTTACTGTGGATTCATTATTATTCTTGGGGTATCAATTTTCGCGGATTTAGTGGGTATAGGTAACCATGAATGTTCAATGAAGTACAAATTATCTTTATTCTTCTATGCAGACTTTGCCACTTAATCAAGTATCCTCGAAAATATAAATTTCTTTAATCAATGAAACTTGGTATCCATGAAAAAAGATGAATCCATATATTGTCATTCTAGGCTATTTTATAGCTGACTGATGAGTTTTGCACATTGTTAAAAGCCATATGGTGAACTTAAGTTGCTTAAATTCAGAGTCATTTGGCTTCTGTTGAATATTTGTCTCATCAACAATCACACCACATCTTCTTATTTTATATTGTACATTATTACTTTTTAGCTATATCGGATGATGGATTTAATGAAATGTCTCATATGCATTCACAAAGAGAGCATGTACATGAACAGGATGATGATGTGAAAATGTCTGACAGTGGATCACCAGAAATGGTTCGATATATTGCCCTTGATGGTATAAAATCTATGGCAAGATTACATGCTGTCTCAACTATTTCTGCACCTGAAGTATCGCTGGTTCCATCTCCAGGACTGATTAACAAGGTACTTCGAAAGAATTTTAAAACATAAATTTCGATTATTTTTACATTTTGTAAAGAAATAATAGATATAAGCACTTCTTTGTCCAAGTTATTTAGCAACTCATAATTCGAAAAATGTGGTCTCACTAAATTAGCGACAAGAAGAAAATGTAAGATTTATGAGGAAGTCAAGCTTTGACCAAATTTCTCATACAAGTTATCTGCCTTAAACTATATTTTTTTACCAGTTGCAATATCATAGTATACTAGAATGAATAGGGAGAAACTGTAACAACACAATTGATCAGTAAATAAGTCAGTACCACTCAACGTGGTTAGCAGGCTGCCCAGCTGATCGGCTGTGGCCCTGAAAACAGCCGTTGTGAAGAAAACTACTTAAAAATCATAATATTAAAGAAACAAAATCAACATATGAAAAACCAAAATAGCTGCCTTCTTCCTGACCAACTTTATGACATTAACAATATTTTAATGCTCACCAAACAACTTAGGGCACTAAGCCGACCTTGTGAGGGTTTATAGCCAGTCAAGGTCGTAAAACACACCCACCAGACATAAGCCAAATTAAAATCTATTTTGGGAAAATTTTTTGTTAGTTTAACCTATATTCCAAATAATGGAAATTGGTTCATTTTCTAAAGATGAACATTTCCATTAGAAAGTGGAATTCATCTTCCACTTCTTTTTTCAGCTCACCTGGCCCAAACTTGATCAGCCAGATAAGATCTACAAATAACGTCCTGCGTCCGTCGTCCGTAAACTTTTATAAAAATCTCCTCCTCTGAAACTACTGGGCCAAATTTGACCAAACTTGGCCACAATCATTATTAGAGTATCTAGTTTAAAAAATGTGTCCGGTGACCCGGCCAACCAACCAAGATGGCCGCCATGGCTAAAAATAGAACATAGGGGTAAAATGTAGATTTTGGCTTATATCTCTGAAACCAAAGCATTTAGAGCAAATCTGACATGGGGTAAAATTGTTTATCAGGTCAAGATCTATCTTCCCTGAAATTTTCATATGAATAGGACAACCTGTTGTTGGTTTGCTGCCCCTGAATTGGTAAATTTAAGGAAATTTTGCCGTTTTTGGTTATTATCTTGAATATTATTATAGATAGAGATAAAATGTAAACAGCACTAATGTTCAGCAAAGCAAGATCTACAAATAAGTCAACTTGACCAAAATGGTCAGTTGACCCCTTAAGGAGTTATTGCCCTTTATAGTCAATTTTTAACCATTTTTCGTAAATTTTTGTAGTCTTTTACAAAAATCTTCTCCTCTGAAATTACTAAGACAAATTTAACTAAACTTGTCCACAATCATCATTAGGGTATCTAGTTTAAAAAATGTGTCCAATGACCCCGCCCCCGAACCAAGATGGCCGACATGGCTGAAAAATAGTACATAGGGTAAAATGCAGTTTTTGGCTGATATCTCTAAAACCAAAGCATTTAGAGCAAATCTGACAGGATAAAATTGTTCATTAGGTCAAGATCTATATGCCCTGAAATTTTCAGACCAATCAGGCAACACGTTGTTGGGTTGCTGCCCCTGAATTGGTAATTTTAAGAAAATTTTGCAGCTTTTGGTTATTATCTTGAATAATATTATAGATAGAGTTAAACTGTAAAACAGCAATAATGTACAGCAAAGTAAGATCTACAAATAAGTCAACATGACCAAAATTGTCAATTGACCCCTTAAGGAGTTATTGCCATTTATAGTCAATTTTTTACAATTTTCATAAATTTTGTAAATTTTTGTAAATTTTTACAAAATATTTTCCACTGTAACTACTGGGCCAAGTTCATTATAGATAGAGATAATTGTAAGCAGCAAGAATGTTCAGTAAAGTAAGATCTACAAACACATCACCATCACCAAAATACAATTTTATCATGAATCCATCTGTGTCCTTTGTTTAATATGCACATAGACCAAGGTGAGCAACACAGGCTCTTTAGAGCCTCTAGTTTGCAAATCTTACAAATTTTATATATTGCCTGAAGTCCTCTATATCTACCTCTCTCTATTTCACGATTATGGTTATTTACTCCAAATTTTGTCATCTGAAATCTCTGAGTCCTATTTTCTATAGACAGAAGAACCCTTTAATGACGATTTTTCCTAATTTGGTTTTTGCTTATTATCTTGAAATTTATAATATATAGAAAGACACTTTTATAGCAAAAAATATCAGCAAGACAAGGTCTACAAATAAGTCAACTTGATCGAAATCGTCAGACTACTTTTTTTGCAGCTATTGCCCTTTAATAACGATTTTTCCCAATGTTTTACATGTTTGCCTATTATCTTGAAATTTATTATAGATAGATAGAAACTTAAAATAGCAAAATTGATCTGCAAGACAAAATCTACAAATAAGTCAACATGACAGAAATTGTCAGTCAACTCCTTATTGGAATCATTCTTTTTTTCATTATTGCCTATTATCTTGAAAACTAAAAGAGATAAATCATAAATAGAAACTTTAAAAAGGAAGAAAGATCAGCAGGACAAGATTTACAGATACATCAACCTGACTGAAAATGTCTGTTAACTCTTTATAGAGTGTTTGCCCTTAAATGATGATTTTTACTAAAAAGTGGCCTTTGTTGCAGATCGGGTGATCAAAAAAGGCTCTAAAGCCTTTAGTTTTTTATTTTAGTCTATTATCTTGAAAACAATAAAAGATAAAGAGAAACTTTAAATTGCAAAAACTTGATCAGCCAGATAAGATCTACAAATAACTCAAACATGTTGAAATCGTGGATTGATTCCTTTTATGAGTTATTGCCCTTAAAGGACGATTTTTACCTTTTTTTCCTAATTACATTGGAAACTATTATAGATAACAATTAACAGGTAAGATCTTCAAATTAGATAACTTTGCCAAAATTGTCAATTGATCCCTTGAAGGAGTAATGTCCCTAAATAACAATTTTTACCAAATTTTGCTTTTTTGCCAAAATGGTAATAGATAAAGAAAAGCTGTAAATAGCAAAACTGATCAACAGGACAAGATTATTGCCCTTTAACAATGATTTTTAGCCAATTTTAACATTATGCAAAATCCATAATAAATAAAGAAAAACAATAAATATCAAAAATGATGAGCAAGACGAGATCTACAAATAAGTCAACATTGCTTATGTTAGTGATTGCCCTTAAAGGACTATTTACCCTTTTCATGTGTTGGGCAAAAACTAAAAAGGAAGATGAAATGATAATGAATGCAGAAAAAGATATAAGCAAAACAAGATCAACAAAAAGATCTAATTCATGAATTATAATCAAGTCTGTTGGAGTGTGGTGAATGTTGAAAATACTCATAGATCCACTATAGCAAGACAGGTTCTTTAGAGCCTCTAGTTATAGAAAACGTTCTTGTTTATGCAATAACAAAATGAAAATTGTCTGATTTCCATTCTTTTAAAATAAATACCTGGTACTACAAATAAATATATGCAGATAAGTCTTATAGATGCAGCTGTCAAACTGCAATATATTGGCTTAATAGGTAATATAACAGAGAGCTAGATTTTAAAGTCTGACAGTAACATGTTCTAATTTAAGAATAAGGGTATCCATCTTAGAATTATCTGCCATAGGTCCTTGTGTGCTACAGGTTTTACCATCTCTTGGTTTCTTCTTGTAATTTTAAACTGCAAGAGACATTTCCACTAAGAAATCTTTCAGTAGTAAATAAATAAACAAAATAACCACAACCTTCCATAAGGTGTTCAAATTTGAAAGCAACAAATATGGTCTCTTTTACTATCAAATAGAATAAAGGAAAACAGGGGGTTAGCTGAACTTGTCTATAGAGTCAACAATATCTATGGACATCACTTGGCATCTATAGTCTGTCCATTTATTTTTTCTCATTTTTAGCTGACATGACCCACTTTCGTTAACTTTTACAAATATTTTCTTCTCTGAAAAACATTGCCAAATTTCACCATTAAACCTATCTTGGCCATAATCATCTTTTTGGGAGTCTAGTTGAAAAAAATGTGTCCTATGACCCAGCCTGCAAAACAACATGGCTAGACATAGAACATAGGGGTAAAATGCTAGTTTTTTGTCGAGCCGGCGGCGGCGTTAATAAACTTCTTAAAAGCTTGATATTTTGGAAGGTAGAAGACCTGGATCCTACCTACTCTGTATATAGATGCCTTATGTTATGAAGTTTCCGTCTGTCATATGTCCATTGTCCTTGACCTCATTTTCATGGTTCAGTGACTACTTGAAAAAATGCGCTCTGCCTAGAGCAGCTGGATACGACTGCAGAGGTCGAACTCTGAAGTATGGACACAATATTCAAGCTTGATACAGCTCTGAATTTGGATAGTGATTAAATATTTGACAAAATTTGGATAGTGATTAAATATTTGACAAATTATAGATTTCTGACACAGAATAAATGTGGTCAGATAACTTAAAAATTTAAAATGGGACATTAAATCTACTTAATGGTCCAATATCCAAAATCTAATTCCATGGTTTGATTCAGCATATAAAAATAATACCAAGAATTCAAACAAAGTTTAATTTTGGACCCTTTGGACCTTAATATGGACTTTTTTGAAAACAGGGCCCAAAATTAAAAATCAGAATGCACAGTTAGATTCAGCATATTATAGAACAACCAGAATTCAGTTTTTGATGAAATCAAACAAAGTCTAATTTTGGACCCTTTGGACCTCAATGTAGACCTATTTAAAAATGTCCAAATATCCAATATAGTAATACATGGTAAAAACCTCAAACAATTCAAGACATTAAATTAAATATATATAAAACTTTATAAACTACCAAAAAAAAAATGTCATTTATTAACTTAATTTTGTATTTTTTTGTATATTTTTTGTTTGTCCACCGTATTTGTTTGCATCTATGTGGTACTGTATTATGATGTTAATGTTATATATGTATGTAAATGTCAATATATTTGTATGTAAATGTCAATTTATTTGTCTGTTCATAGTATATGT